GGAACAAAGACAAGCAAACTAAAAGTCCAATATGAAACGAAACAAAAACAAAGGCAAACCATGACAGTTGGTGTCGCACTATGCCAAGTTTTTTAGGCATAAAAAACAAAGCTGCACCACCAAATAGGCTCATTAATCTCAGTAGTCTAACTGAAACAAATGTCATTCTATTCTGCTAGTTGAGACCATTTCAACAATATGACAAGTCTATCTGTTATATGTACTAGGATTTTACATTTTCATGTAAAGCAGTTATTTTTAGAGCACTTCTAAAATTCAGCAAATGTGAAGTGTTGATCATATTCTCTATTATCACTATAAAAGCCAAGCTTCTAAGCTTTGAAACAGCACATTTTGTGTTGGTTAAGCAAGTAGTTGTTAAGTAACATGATAACTTAGAAGCGCCTCCTGCTTCGAATTTAAGAGGTTATGGTTAACGTTTAATGGATTAATTGATCATTAAAGGGTTAGTTCACCCAAAAATGAAAATGCTGTCATTAATTACTCACCCTCATGTCGTTCCAAACCCGTAAGACCTTCGTTCATCTTCAGAACACAAATGAAGATATTTTTGATGAAATCCGTTGACCCCTCAATAAGCAGGATCATCATTGCAACTTTCAAGGCCCAGGAAGGTAGTAAAGTCATCATTAAAATAGTCTTATGTGACTACAGTGGTTCAAATGTAATGTTACAAATAGTGCTGTCAAACGATTATAATATTTAATCGCGATTAAATCGCATTGATGTCATAGTTAACTCGCGATTAATCGCAAAAAATCGCACATTTTTATCTATTCTAAATGTCTCTTGATTTGTTTTTGTCCCATTATTTTTTTCTCATTTTAATGCTCTTATCAACATGGAAAAGTGGATCGGCTTGCTCTGTGCAAATGTTTTTTTTTATTGAAAACAACATTGGCATATACTGTGTTCAATTTCACACTAACATTCTCACTTGGAGCAAATAATCTCTCACACAAATGTAACACTGTCCATCAATAAAAGGGTGAAAGAAATACTGACGAGTACTGATATTGACGAGGGGGCGGAGAATTCGCATCAGCTGTGTGTGTGTGTGTGTGTGTGTGTGTGTGTGCTTGGCTATCATCAATTCAGTGGTATTTCAGACTGGACGTGCTGCGATGATGATAGCTTAGTTCACAACGACAAAACACACAGATCACTTTGGTATTGTCAATGGAACCATTTGGCAACTTTTTAAAAGTAAACTTTCCATTCAGAATCTTATTGGCATCCATTTCGACGTCTCGCGCTCGTCATCCACTCAAAACGTTACGTTAACCTACTATTTGGCTAGCACGCAAGCCTAAACAAGTGTGTGCGGCGTGCTAGTTCTTTTGTTTCCGGTCTAGCTAGATCCGCTTGCGCTTTGGTCGACGAAGCAACAAAACGTCAACAAAATGTGTTTCATAGCGCAGCGCCGCGCATGCCGCGTCCTGTTGCAAAAGCATGTGAAAAAAACTACAAAGTTTGCTAGGCCAAAAAGACCGTTAATCGCGCGATTAAAAAATTGACGCCTATAAAATGGGTTTGCAATAACGCCGTTAATAACACATTTAACTAACAGCCCTAGTTATAAAGCGACGAGAATACTTTGTACGCAAAAAAAAAAAACTACTTTATTCAACAATCTTTTCTCTTCCACGTAATTTTCCTACTCTGTTGACGTAGTGTAAACAGTGCAGCGCTTCCGAGTTCTACGCCAGAAAGCCGGCTCTCTATTGGCTAGCTCCCGTTTCAGCATCACACGCATGTGTCGTGGTACTCACGTGACCAGCGTCGGCCAATAGTGAGGCGACGCCCTGGTGTAGAACCCGGAAGCGCTGCACTTTGTTTACTGTGCGAATAGCATAGGAGATCTGACACATAAGAGAAGAAATTGTTGAATGAAGCCGTTATTTTTGTTTGTTTTTGCTCACAAAAAGTATTCTCGTTGCTTCATTACATTTGAACCAGTGTAGTCACATGGACTATTTTAACGATGTCTTTACTACCTTTCTGGGCCTTGAAAGTTGCAGTGCCGTTGCGGTCTATGGAGGGATCAGAAAGCAAAAATATCTTCATTTGTTTTCCGAAGATGAACGAAGTTCTTCCGGGTTTGGAACGACATTTTTGGGTGAACTAACCCTTTAATTTAAACAACAATCGGTTATGGGAATTTAAGTAAATTGACATCCCTAACTCCCAAAAACAATACTACCCGCCCTGGGCCTCACCAGCCTACCGGGTTACAATATTATGCTGTTTACAGAGATTTATTTGATATACAAACGGTTATGTGTTTGTGCACAAGACTACCTGAAATACCTGGCAACCGACTGCAAGCCACTAACTTCCCTTTCACAACTGCATGGCGTATCAGATAGCGCATGTGAAATGGACAACAGATCTTAACGGAAGCTACAAGGTACTTTTTGCCCAAACTGAAAAACTCAATCAAGATCAGCAGCTGACTTGGACTTTTCCCCATTGGATTTTTTCCCCAGATGTTTCACCAGTGCCAAAGCTGTTCTATAATAAACACTGGTAGTGAGTCGAGTCTTTATGAAGTGCTGGCTGGGTAAAAGCGCATTAGACACAGAGAAGGCTGTGTGTGTGTGTGTGTGTGTGTGTGTGTGTGTGTGTGTGTGTATATATGTGTGTGTGAAGAGTATGTGGATAAAAGGGTGTGGAGCACATCTTTTTGCATGAGTGCTCCCATTAGTTCCAGAGTGAGCGTGTGCATGTCGGGCATGTATGGCGTATGTGGATGTGAGCATGTCTGTACCCCTGCAGGTATGTGGTGTTCCGTGTGTGTCTTACGGCTTAAGGAGTGTATTGTGCGGGAGTGGGAGTGTTGTGAGGGGGTGGGGTAGTGTGTCAGTGTGTGTGTTCAGGCGGAGGGGTATTGGGGAGGCTACATCACAGTCGTTCCAACTCCCGCCAGAGCTTCGTTGCCATGACTACAGTAGAACGGAAGCCTCCCTCAATATATCCTATTATGGCTTTGGCGAGACTTGGAAGAAAAGGACAGATATGATAGAAGGACAGAAATAGAAAGAAACCACCAAAAAGTGGAGGGTAAGAGTAAAATATTAACTGGCATGTAAAAATATTACGTAATGCTTCCTTATGTGGAGCTTTGGTCTATAAGATACCACAGAGCAGGGAATGCCAGTTAATGATCATTCTTTAATTTCCTCATGCTCTCTTGTATATTTAGTAATGGAAGACTTTCCAAGTTCCCAAACATTGTTCTAAGAAATACTGATAGGTGGAGCTGTATTTAGGTCTTTCCTACTCTCTTGCTAGTCTATGGTATGCATTTCGGCTTCATTTTGAACGCAAAACAGGAAGTGCTTTACAAAAACACAAATTTCAATTTGATTTGTTGACTTCGCACAATTTCCTGGAGTCAGGGTGCACGGGTTTGTATTGGTCTACAGGGAAAACAAAGTTGTGTTATGTTGCAAGGCAGCTAGTGTGAGCTTTTCCGAGAAAGTCAAGAGTTAAAGTTTGCAAGGTTAATGGTAGAAAGTAAACATCACACAAAAATCTATGGCTGGTCATCTTGCATCTCAGTCAGACAGCACCTTCCTGTCTAATTTAGTGGTTCTTCACCAGGTGAATTGTGCGATTTATTTTAGTTTTTGATTGGACAAAACGTTTTTGGTCTGTTTTCCCAGAAGAGAAAAACTATTTTTCAAAGCATATATAAAAAAGACGCCTAAAAGCTAGATTTAAAAATATATATATATATTGCCCTATATATATTGTCTAAATGCATACATATCATTGATTTTATTGTGAATGAATCATTTATGCATGTTTAATTTTTTTATCTTTTTATTTTACCACATAATTTTTTATAAAAAGAAATAAGGTGAAACAACTTCCCTCTAGTGACGTATACTGGACTTCTCCAATTATTTAGTCCGCATAACCTTTTATCCCCCGAACCTCCTTTCCGACAATTGATTCCATGCTTGCATTCAGATCCGTCTCAATAGGGATGTTTATTTCGTTTTTTTATACCAATGCTCCTAAACCGATCATTAACCGACAAGATTTTGTTAAATTAGAATTAAATTAAATAAGTATGGATAAGAGTCTGTGACCCATTAAAAAAATACCAAAATTTGTTTTTCAGAGCATGAGGATTTAAACATTGTCACATCATGCACCTGGAGCACTTCTGTGAATTCATATTGATGTAAAAGGAATAAATATGTGAAAAAATAAATAAATAATAATAATAATAATAATAATAATAATAATAATAATAATATATATATATATATATATATATATATATATATATATATATATATATATATATATATATATATATATATAATGTACACACAGACATATATATATATATATACATTATATTATTATACATATATTATTATACAAATATATTTTACTTAAAGGGATCATGAACTGCATTTTATTTTTATAATGTCATCATTATATGATGCAGATCATTATGATCATTTTTAATTTTTGGGTGAACAATTCCTTTAACTGATAGCATTAATCAGTCTGTCGCTTAACAGTTCACCAGTTAATTATGCGCATCCCTAGCCTCCATCCAATCAACAACCGATAGATAGAACCCCACCCTACTTTTTTTCTTTTTTTATGATCCGTTTCACTCGTATTTCAGAAATCTTCCATTTCATTGTGACTTCAACTACTCAATGTACAAATCATATAATCCAGACAATCATTATGTAAAACTAATATTAAATGCATTTGTAGCATAAAGTAAACATTGGCCTAACATTTAGATTATGCCCTGGCCTTATCTTGAGAGAGGAGATCCAAGTTCTCCCAGTCTTGAGGAACCCTGAGGACCACTGACTTCATTCTCACAACACTGCAACCACACCCCTTTCCAATAACTCTAGGCTTCATACTCCCAGGACTCTCCCACTAGGAAGTTCAAACCCTGCACACATACATACACCAAATTACAAAGGCTCACTCACCACCATACACTCCACCTCCTCTGGCTCAGACTTGATTTGTATGGATGGCATCTCCTCAACAGGCTCAGAAGTGGCTGCAGTGGATTTCTTCGGACTCGTCTGACACTGCAAATGAAAAACAGAGAACACTTAAGGGCTAATCAGAGCATTGAGATGTAGTTTTACCAACAGTCTGAGAAGTTAGCAGAATGCTAACCTCTGAACAGATTTGTAAAAACCTACAATTTGCTTGAACAAAATTACCTAAGTTATCCAAAAAGAAAGAAAAGTTAGCAGGAGGTCGCAGAGGCTACAGAGAGATGGAATCCACTATCCTCAACAGACTGATGTGAGAAGAGTTAGAAGATAGTTACTCTCTCTTAAGCTAAAGTTAGTTGGGGGAGGAGGATACAGAGACATCAAGGAACAAAAGAGATGATTGGAACTCAAGTACAGGTCAATCAGATGTGGGGGGATGTCTGAAAATGGAGGGAGAATCACAGAAATGGGAAGACCTCAAGGAAGAGAAAGGCAAAAAAAAATGGTTCTAAAGGTTAAAGAGATGGTTCTAAAGACTGACCAGCTGGAGAAAGACAAGATGAGAGAAAGAACAACTGAACAAGCAGGGAGGAGTAGTCAGCAATCCTGTGTCGCCTCCCTCTTCGAGCAGAGCAGTCACACCCAGTTCTTTCAGACCGAATAGCAAGGGAAAGAGGCCTGTCTCACAGAGTAGAGCAGCGGTATTAGTGGAGAGAGAGGGAGAATGTGGTAATGCTTAGGCATGGGGGTGGGAGTGGGGGTCATGTGACCCAGCTGCAGTGGATTCCACAAAGAGGTGTGGCCCCCCATAAGCTGGGGTGTGGCCGTCCTCAATCTGCCCCTCCTCTCAACCTGGCACAGACAAACAGCAAACACGTGCACGGTGAACAAAATGTCTTCTGATGGCTAATGTTGTCTGAGATAGCTGGAAAACAGATGCTTCATTCAAACTGAATGAGAGCAGAATGTCTGTAAACAGGGTCCAAAAAGTAATCACTAAGTGGCTTTGGTGAGTAAATAAAATTGTGGTACTCGCACCTGGCCAGTGACTTTAATTGGCACATTTAAGACAAATGTTATGAATAATAGGCTGTCCTTTGCTGAAGTAAACTAGAACCACAACGAAAGGGGACATTTTTTTTAAGATTAATCCTAAATAAATACACAGTACATTTTCTATTATTTCTAATTAGGCACTGAATAATGTACCCATACAAAGTTGTCTCGGCCAATGAAATCGGTTTGGTGTCCAAGGGGAATGGGTCTCTGCAGGGGATAGGATCTTGCACAACACATCTTTCCATCCATCAAGGAGTGTTTGGTCTGAAGAAAGTTAAAGACCCTTGTCTTGGAGATTTTATCATCAATTTATTTGTCAATTTATCAAATTATCAATTTATCAAGGTTTTCTTTTTTTTAAACTCCTTTTGAACAATAAATATTCCTCATATAGAGCCACCAAGATAAAAATATTATATGTCTTAATTTTTTTTTGTTTTAGTTGCAGCTAGACTAGATGACGGAGAATGGCTCATCTCAAGAGTCACAATGAGCTGCACTGTCACAAATATGCAAGGAAGAACACAGCTAAATAATACCAATGTCAACAATCCCAAAGGATAAAAATATTTGTAAAAAATAATGTAAAAACAATTGCATGGCCAGTAAGTTGTTGCCAATGCTATTCTATTGGCAAAAAGTAGCTTTTGGATACTGTCTGCAAGTTATACACACACAAGACTGGCTCCGGCAATATAAAAGTATGTGAGCACTTCAATGATTGAGAGTAGTACTCGTCCACTGGCAAACCCTTTGGAGAGATGATGATGTATATCGGTGAGGAAGCATTACCAGAGTATGTGTGCGTATGTAAATCCTCCCCAGGGAGCTTGTGCTGAGGGTAGTTCCAGGAATAAAAGAGGGTGGGGTGGGTGTGACCCCAGTCCCTCTATACCCCAGCAGGAAGTTATGGAGAGAGGAGGGGGCTCGCATTACTGAGAGAGGGAACATCAAGGATTAGAGAGAGGAAAGCACAAAGTAGAGGATAGCAGAGGCAGAGAATCAAGCTAAAAAACTGAAAGAACGAAAAAGATGTGAAGAAGCGAGAGAATGAATGGGGGTGGAGGGGGAGAGGAAGAGAGAACCATCACAATCTGGGTCATGGCGTTCTCCCTCACTCAGTTGCTCCCAAGCCCCCGTGGCAAACCAGTCCCCGCCTCAGTGCAGCGTGGGTAGAGTGGCCGTCTGGGACTGCATTGCTCACCACACACACCCTTTTGTCCACCCCTCCTTCTCCAAAGAAAGTCATTCTTTAGTACTCATATTTAGGATTTATTGGCTTTCTTGAACAACTATAGAAATTCTACCTTAAACAATCCTCATCGTCTTAAAGCCCCCCCCCCCCCCCCTGTGGTGAAAATCAAGCTTTTACTGTTGTTTATATGTCTATGTGGTGTTTTTAAAATTCCTTAAGACAAACCATGTGCAAATTCATAAGTCAACACCATTGCTTTAAAAGGAGAAAATTGCTGAGTATTTTCTCCTTAAAACTACAAACGTGTGATAGTCAATGAGGGGATCTCTGAGCTGGTACGAGTGAGTGGAGGTGGGGCTATTTTGCATATTCATATACTAAATGAGGCAAGGGTGCAGAGTAACATTCAGTCTTTTTTAAGGCATGAAAGGGAAAATTCAAGGGGAAAAAAACGTTTAAGTATGTCATTTTGGTGATCAAAGACAAGTTTTAAGGGATACAATAATTGACTACAGTTGGACTTTAAGCATTTTAAAAGGAAGTGCTGAAACTTGGTTGGGTGTAGAGGTAACCTATAATCTACATGGTATAAAACAGTTGTTGTTGAAGAAACAGTTAGCAGCACATACCCAGCCCTAGTGCCATGGAACATTATATCTCTTGGGCACTTCATAAAAATATCAGGAGCTTCCAAACCTTGAATCCCAGTTCTCCAAACTTGACCATCAACTGAGGCATGTCAGAGGATCTAAGGTCAGCAGAACCTTATTATAAACCCTATTTCTCGTTGAGAATGAAGAATCTGATAACAGAAAACCATGAGACTTACTAGGACCAAAAGGGGCTGGTCCTAGCATGAGGCCCTGAGAAGGAAGTTAAAGGACTTCAGCTCTGAAGGGCCGAAAGGGTGTTCAAAGCCGCATGTTGCACAATCATGTAACCAGAGATTGGACGCTGGCTCATGCTCCATACCACTACTAGGCCCGACTGGACCCCCCTGTGAGGAGTGGTTGAGAGGGTGCAGAAGTAGTACATACAGAGGGGGTAGGGAGGTGTGTGTTGTTCTCTGAGTGGTGTGGGACAGTTTTCCTAACAGCGGGGAGGGAAGGCAGGGCCTCTCCATCTACCCTGCTGTTGTGTTACAAGTTTCTCTGACCACTGTACACAAGCAAAACCTTTGCCCAAATTCCAAAGTGCAAGAGCTGCCCCACTCTTTCTTTGGATAATGGAGGCAAGTGGAGGTGGAGTTTAAGAGTGAATTTAAGAGTGAACCCATTCCGAGTTTAAGAGGAGATTTGTTAAATCAATGTCCAAAATTGAATTCAATCCAAGACTCCTTTTTGGTTTTGATAAATGGGTATCTAAATAAAACAGGATATGGCATAACCACCATCTCCCAACATTGTACCAAGGACATATCACTGCTTTAACTAGTGTTATTGTAGATATTAAACCAACTATGCACATTGAGAATTCACGAAACTAAACTTAAATTCCCAATTTATACTTTACACAACTGCATTAACTCTTGTTAATGGTACTTGTTAATGTAACTTGTTGTTACATAAATAAAAGTAGTCCGGGTGGGGGGATACTAGGCTGTGTTAGTCTAGAGAGCATTCAGCGCATAAACATTGACATTCACACACATTGGTCTACCATCTAGCACAATGGCCCACAATGGGGAAAAAAGACCAGCTTTCTTCTACAGAGTGAGCACAGAAAATACAACAGAGGAAACTGATTTGAGATCAGATTTTGACATGGGGTATAGCAAAGCTTGAGGATAGGTAGTGAGGTGAGATTCTGTCTCCAATTATCCTGCTCATGGATTATTATACACTAATTACCTTATTGTGAAGATAGTTTCCCTAACCTTTTACCTAATCAGAATAAGTAGGACAAAAAAATATTGGTTGCTTGTTAAAGCTCTTTTGTTTTTGTTTATTATACATTTTGGTATACATTTGCACTAGTTTGCATGTTTCTGTCCAATTATTAGTTTGCACAGTTCCACTGACAGTGCTTTTTTGATCTTAGCTCTTCTATAGGAAGTCAGGTAAAACGATTACTACGTTTGTGTGGGACAATGTGGGACATGTTACCAACACTAAAACATAACCTGAAACTGTTATATAATGTCTATCTAACATATATAACATATCTGCCTTCAGCTGATTAAAAAATACTTGTTCTTTAGTCTCTTCCAGAAAACTCCATTACATCACAATGTAACATAACATGTCTTTATTTAACATGTCATTTAAATTCAACATCACTAAGCACAAAGGCAGCAGGCATCATGCAGATAACTATTTTTGAAACAGTTCTGACCAAGTCCAACTAAAATCCAACAAAATAAATAATGAACAAATAAAATATAAAACGACATGAAATTAGTTAATTGACAGTCTTTTATATTAAGAATATATTAAACCAAAAACTTTCATATTTTTAGAAAGGATGTGAATTAGAACAACCACAGCAGGTAACAATTTGATAAATTCCTTTAAATTAAAATTTTAATTTACCGAATTATCCATTTGTTTTCTGACAGGGAACACATGTAACGAATCACCGCTCCACATTTTTATTGACAGCCGTCACAACCTACTAGTGACCGTGTTTACTCCTTTCTTTTCAACCATTGGATAGGATTTTAAAAAACGGCTGTTGTATTTGCACTTCTGACGAAGCGCTGTTAAATATAGGTGAAAAACTACACTGCAAAAAGATCACGGCAAAAGAACGCATGCACGTTTTCTTAATATGATAATTAAAAACCAACAGACTGATGAAAATGCGGGACATTTTCTCAATATGCAACATGTGG